GATTGACGACGCATAATCCAAAAAATGTTAGAAATTCAAAAATTGTTAATCCAAGTTCAAGTTCTTTTAAAGGCTCAAAAAGTTTTTAATCCAATATCTAAATCTAGAAACAAATTAGAAGAAGAAACACTAATTTTTCAAAGAAGAAACACTAATTTTTCAAAACTCCTTTCATAAAACATATCTAACAGAAGATTAATACAAAAAATGGTGAATCAAGAATCATGATTTTCAAGATCAAGTATCAAAAATATCAAGAGTTTTCTTAAACTTTAAGTAATACAGAAAATGTAAGCATACTCTTTGTGGGCTCATTTTATGTCTCTTGTAAATTTTTGGAGCACTTTGCCATCTTTTGTTTTTTGATACACTTTATATATATATTTCTCAATTTGGTGTCATTGCGCATCTTTTTTTTTTTAATTAAATATGCTACTTTTCTAAAAAAATTTAAAATAAAAGTAAACTCATTCTATTGATAAATCGAACTACTTGATTAAAAAAATTATGAGATAGATTCAACAACTGGCAAAAGAATTCTATGCGATAAACAAAATATAGGGAGATGAAAAATATCAGTTTCAAATCCAATTTATAATGTGATGAAGATTTTGAATCAAAAGTAAAATAACCTTTTTAAAAAAGAGATAGAGAAACAAAATCATGAGTTTTCTTCCTTTTCTATTTTTAGAGAAGTCAACCACAATTTTTATAAGAATTCAAGAAAAAAAATAGGAGGTAGATTTTTCATTTTTTAAAAAGTGAACGTGTGTGTTGATCAGAGAGAACTTCACAAAACTAAGTATAAAATCTAATTTAAAATTTTAAAATAAAAAAAAAACGAAGAAAAATAAAAGTGAAAGAAAACAAAATAAAAAAAACATAAAAAATAACTAAAAACAAAACACAACTCAAACAAATAAACACACAAACAAGGCCTTTAAACATTATCTTGCTCCTGGTCTGATGATTCATAAGCTAGGTCTGCCCAGGAGATTTTTTACTTTTCATTATTTGCACTTTTATAATTTGCTTAGCGTTATCTTTTTCTTTTGTAGGAAGAGTTCTTAAATTAATTTCTTATATGTCTAAGTTTCATATACCCAAAGTAAATAACGTCATAAGAAATCTTAACATTCTTACCATAAATCTCCTGGGTAGACCTAACTTCTAAGTCATCAGATTAGGAGCAAGATGATATTTAAAGTCTTATTTGTGTGCTTATTTATTTGTGTATGCGTATTTTTTTATTCGTTATATTTTTATTTATTTTCTATGTTTTTTGTTTATTTTCACTATTTTCTTTGGGTTTAGTTTTTCTTCGTTTTTATTATTGTGTTAAAATTTTAAATTAGTTTTTATACTTATTTTTGTGAAGTTTTCTCTCATCAACATACACATCACTTTTTTATTTCCAATATAATTTAGAAAATCAAATCTTTTTAAAGATCATTTTTTCTAAAAATAAAAAATTTACCTCCTAATTTTTTTAAAAATTATTACGTAAGTTATGGTTGACTTCTCTAAAAATAATTAAAAGAATGAAACTAATGATTTTGTCTCTCTATCTCTTTTCTTAAAGAGACTATTTTACTTTTGATTCAAAATCTTTATCAAATTATAAATTAAATTTTGAAATTGAACTTTTCATCTCCATAAATTTTTTCTATCACATAGGGATCTTTTGCAGATTATTAAATCCACCTCATAATTTTTTTAATCAAGTAGTTTATTTTTGTCAATAGAATGAATTTGCTTTAGTATTTTAAAAATTACATAAAAGAAGCATATTTGGTAAAAAAGAAAAAGGCCAATGATGCCAAATTTAGAAAGATACAAAAAGTGTATCAAAAATTAAAAGATGTTGTATGACGCCAATTTTCAAAAGATACACAAAATGTATCAAAAATCAAAATGTGATCAAAGTGTCTCAAACAACTGACAAGATGCATAAAATGAGCCCACAAAAAGTAAGCTTACCTTTATTGTACTTCTTAAGTCTTAAGAAAATCCTTTTACTATTGATATCTTTGATACTTGGGTTTGCAAATCATGATTTTTGATTCACCAAATTTTTGCATTAATATTCTATTAGATATATTTCATAAAAGGAGTTTTGAAAAGATAAATATTTTTTTTCTAATTTATTTCTTGATTTAAATATTGGATTAAAAAAATTTTGAATCTTTAAAAAAACTTGAGCTTGGATTAACAATTTTTAAATTTCTAATATTTCTAGGTTATGTGCTGTCAATACATTCCTTACTAAATTTTTGAATAAAATTAAGAGGTAACTTTCTCATTTCAAGAAAATTTGAATTTTTAAATTGATTCTTTTAAAAATATCTTCTTCACTAGATCAGGAATCATTTGATGTTTGGTTAGTCAGTTTTTTTTACTATTTTAGTTTTTTGTGCTGCTCTTCTTTTTGATAATATCAAACGGGAAGAACATACTATTGTTTTTATATTTATTTTAGTTATTTGTTTTGTTTTACTTGTTTTATTTTAAAATAAAAAAATAGAAAAAGAGGAAAGTTTTGTTTACCCCTGTTTTTAAATTTTCATATTAATGAGGAAGAGTTTAGGAGAAAATATTTTTAGTTTGCAACTTCATCAGTAATGTTTGCCATCATCAAAAATATAAAACTTGTGAGTTCGAGTTACAACATTTTAATGTAAGAGGTTTTATATATGTCACATATGTTTCTTTTGAGATTAATGAATGAATGATAAAAAAATTTCTGCATTGTGAGTTCTTGTGAGAGCTTGAGAGAGTTTGGAAGAGAAGTCCCTTAGAGAGGGAATCAAATCATCCACCAACCTTGGAAGTGTCCGAGTTTGTGGTTCTTTATCCCCTTCTTTCTTCCCCCTCTTTCTTCCCCTACTAGCTGTCGGCCTAGGATCTCCCCCACTCCCAAAATCTATGGCCACCCCTAGCAATTCCCTCTACTGTCGGCTACAAATTTCCCACCACATCTCCAAGCCTCCATCCATCTATTTCCTTCCTCCATCTATTCAGCTTGCCCTCTTTCCCCCCACTTCCACACCACCAAACCACCTAACCCTAACCCTAGCCACCACCAACCCCTTCCCCTCTTTCCCTCCACAATTAAAACCACATCCATACTTGCCTTTAACATAAACCTCGATTTGGAAGGTCATAATTTCAGATTTCAAATCAATTTTGAAATTTGAAATATTTCCTAACATAGAAAATCTATTTTAGGAATGTCTTCAAATTAAATCCAAAATAATTTTTTATTGGATTAGATTTAAATTCCGCTTCCTAACCTATGATTCCCAATTAAACAAGCATTTAATACCTTTCCCAAACCCTTCCCCTCATCCCCATATCGCCGGCACCTCTCTCCCTTTTTGCCCCTCCCATATTAATTCTCTTCCCCCTAATTACCTCAATCAAACCTCCAAATTATGAACAAGATTATCCTTTTCCTCCCATTAGTTTGAATTCAAAATTTAAATCCTAGTTCTCTCATAATTAAATTTGAGATTTAATCTCATATTTAAGAGAACCAATTAAAACCCTATTCGACCTTTCCAAAAACCTCTTCCTCAAATTTCTTCTCCTTGAGAGTTTTCTAACTGCTGTCCAAGATTCACAACAAGTCTATCTTGCTGTCCTGCATTTCCAAAAGGCCTTTCTTGTTGTTCAAAGACCTCTATGACGTTGTAGCTACTACACAGATTTTCGGGAAGTTGTGCTATCCAGAAGCATTTCAAGTGTCGAACTGCTGTCCCAACCCTCATTACTACTGTCTTAGCATCCCTATCTAGTTACTATCCAGTCATTTTGGTGACCTCCTGGCTGTCTCGCTGTCTAGAAAGTTCCCGATCGTCTTATATCTTCCTAATTCACCTTCCAATTCTGGTTATAGTTTATTCACAGTGATTCTTGTTGATCCCTTCGCTACAGCATAGTAATTTAGGGAGTTGAGTGAGGAATTCTTGCATAGTGACTAATTTTATTGTTAGCATGGGAATTTTGTTGAAAACCTTCCATATATGCAACGTTAGATTAATTGACTATTTTATTATCTTAACTTCTACACATGTGATTTTGCCTAAGCTTATTTTATCACCTTAGTATTTTATCTTATCGTTTAAATCAATATAAGATTTTGCTTCTTATTGTTATCTAAAATATAAGCGTGCAAATTTCTTAATCAAATCATATTCTTTGCATTTATGTCCTGCATCACAACAACCAAGAAAAAAGATCAAAGGAAACACACCCAACAGAAAACAAAAGAGAGCAAAGAGCAACAACAAAAAAGACCCAGAAACTAACACCAGCAACAAACAAGCAAACAAAAAATCCAAAAAAACATTAAGAACCAAAAAATAACTAAAGAAAAAATCACTCAAACCAAAAACAGACAAACAACAACACTCTCGAAAACCCAACAACCCAGGACCAAACAACAAATAGATCGAAAAAACAAAACAAGTAAAATCAAAGACCTAAGAAAAAAGAAACAAGCAACTGGACTAAAGAGGGAAAACCTCCTAAAAAACTCTGATTTCATTAACAACCATGATTAAATTAATATAAATAAAAAATGATTAGACTATCTTAATCCAAAATTTCCCCCTATTTATCATCAATCAATTGGTTCACTTGGCGCCAACGCCGTCTACCTAATCTCCCACCGGTAATTTTTCAATTTACATCACTAATTACGTTGAGTTGCAGTACGCAACGTTTCTTGCTACGGCCAAACAACAAAAAAACAACATCTACGCACCAAACAAATTGACCCCCAAATCGGACTATCTGGCTCCACACAATAGCTCAGTTTCTCACGTGGTCCGAAAGCGGGCATCTTCACCTGCCCCGCATGGTGCTGAAAGTGAACACATGAAGTAAGTTTGCAAAAAGAACCGGAGGGAAGACTGTGAATCTAGAGGGATTAAAAAAAAAAGATATAAATATGATTCCCCGTGCAATCGAACAACTTTTTTTGGGAATAATTTCGAACAAAATTCAGTGTGGCCTTATACTTCTTTTAAAAGACGAACTTGTTGACGCTAATCGTTTGACGTTGACAGCCGAGTGGGGAGTGCGGTCTACGGATCCAAAGGTGTCTCCTTTATCTCGCTGCACAATCGATAGCCCGCTTCCTGTTCTTCCTCTTCCAGTTCGCTCCTTATCAAAGAAAACCAAGCAGCTTGCTCCTCCTAGATCCTCGCCGGGAAGCTCGATTGCGCAGCTCTTTCGTGTTCTCCGGCGGTTTGCTCTCTCTCTCTCTCTCTCTCTCTCTCTCTCTCTCTCTCTCTCTCTCTTATTTAGCCTATCCCTCATTTATAATCGAGAAGTTTCTTTACCGGTGTTTGCCTCAGGCATGCGGGTGATTAGCTCAGCCTGTTTACGGGTTACAGTTTTAGCAGTTTGTGGGTTTTTTTTTTTGTTATTGTTTTGCTGCGTATTTGGCGATAGGGTTTCCGGCAATTGAGTAACCTGGGATATTCTAACCTAAAATTGCAAATATATAACTGGGAGTTGCTGATAGTAGCTTTGGAGTGAAATGTTTCCTTTAAAAGAAATACACTAGACTTTACTGAATCAGAGGGCAAAAAGATGGTTTTGTTTTTTGCGTTCTGCCATTTTATCAGTTTCTTGATAGCTACTAAGTTGTCTATGGTGTAGCATTCTTCTTGTATTGCTAAGTTGTGATGGTTTTTTTTTACTTGTTCGTTGTGGGTTTCCATAAATCATGGGAAAAAGGACTCTGAAGAGCTTCTTTTTAATGAATATAAATCAATAGTTTTTGTGTTTTTAAAGGGAAGCGATATTTGGAGAACATGTGGATTCTGTAAAAGCAATGTCTGCATTTGTCTAAGACAATAATTCAATATGTCATATTACATAATTGGAACATTTTTTAAGGTTATCTTCTCCACAATTTTGTGCTTTACACCTGCTATTGCTTCGTTATTTGTTTGTTGATCACATCATATTGCTTTTGTAGGGAATGGCCTTTCTATTTAAACTGTCACATTCATGACTATAGTATCATCTGTGAAAATACTTGAAGAAATATGAGACTGAATATTTTGAAGCTTTTGCTTGCTGGACTTCTTTCAGTTGTTGTTGCTGATATTGAAGGTACATTTCATTCCTTCTTATTTGTTTCTTGAGCATTGCTACACTGCCCAAACAAATTGACAAAAGCATTTCTTTATGATCCTGATGAGGACATCGTCAGCATTTTCGAAACGAGTACCATCAGGAGACGCCGGAGATCGACGACCACGATCATGAGTTTTATTTTGAATCATTTTATGTAGTAGTTTATTTTATTTTCAGTTTTTTTCCACTTTTGCCCCTTATGGGTATTGTCGCTATTGTTAGCCCAAGGGCAATTTAGTCTTTGTTTTCTTTTTATTTGGAGCTATATATGGCCCTTTCTTATGTAATAGTTAGTTTTGTATGTATAAAAATTATTGCTTTGTGTTCTCTTTGTGAGTGCAAACCTCCACGATCTCTTAGTGAGTTTCGTAGAGAAGCTAGATTCTCTTGTGAGTTCTAGGTTTTTCTCTTCTTCTAACTTTCCTTTATTTCTTTGGTCAATCATCATCTGGAGATTCGGATTGAAGCACTTGTGGAAAATTGAATTCACTCCTTGGATCCTTATATTTTCCTTACTTTCCTCTCCTTGATCCTTCCGCCCCCTTTCCCCTAGCCAAACCGCCAGCCAGCCTCCTGCCGACACCCAGCACCAACCCAGCACCCCATCCCGGCCGCCTGCAAGAGCCTCCCCGCCGGCCAACTCCCATGCCGGCCACCCGCCGCCACCACCACGCCTTCTTCGTCGAGCCATCCCTGGATCCATACCGCCGGCCCCCATTTGGTTTCCCTTTGCTAGTTTGAATTTCATCCTTTAATGACTTTCCTAATTAATTCACTTAAATTGGGGAATTAATTAAGGGAGTTACAAATTTTTGAAATTCAAATTTCCTCCCAATTTTCTTTCAAGAAAGGAGTTACATGACTTAATTAAAATCTGAAATCTAAATTTCAGATTTTGATTAATTAATTGTGATCCCCACCTATTTAATTCCAAGCCTCTCTCTCTCCCATATGTCCGGCCACCTTCTCCTATTGTTTCTCTTTCTACTTGCCACCTCATCACTACTTAAACACCTCTTTAATATCCCTCTCCCTCAGGTTTAATTTCAGTTTTCCATGATTTTAATTTCAAATTTCAAAATTTGAAATTTGAAATCAATTCCTCCCCCTTAATAGCCCCCCCTCTCTCTCCTAATCACCTTAATAGCTCCACAAATTCAGCCCAAATCTTCTCCCCATTGCCGCCCCTCTCTCCCTCCTTGGATTAATTTTAAATTCAAATTAAATTCCTCTCCTAAACCAGTAAAATCTAAATTTTATTTCAGATTTCCTGCATTTGCCTCTTAGCCCCCACCATAGCCGTCAAGGAAGTTTCGATAAGACGTTGGATGCTCACTAGTCATCCCATGGACTACCCGCCACCGGCTACCGCTCCAACGGACTAGCTTTTGTGTGCCATTTGTTTCCTAGTGGCATCGCTCGGTTGCTCTCAATCTTCCTCCATAAAAAGTGCCACCAACAAGCGAGTGAGTGAGAGACCCAAGGTGAAAGTTGTATTTGTTAATTGTGGATTATTGTTTCTCCCCATAGCATTACTCTCTAATTCTATGTTGTCAATTTGATATTGTCCCGTTAATCTAGTTATAACCGCATGCCTTACTTAATTTCAACTTGATAGTTCTGAAAACCTAACTTGGGTAAGCATTAATTTTATAACTAGCAAAGCTTTAAAAATCTTATATTAAAATTCCCAAGCAGTTCATGTTTCCATGCATCATGTTTCACATCAGATCCGCTTTCTTATGTGGCTCAATCAAAATGGGGAGTCTTTTTATTGGTCAATCTAATAAAATTACGAGACGATGTTAGTTTCTATGTAGATTTGTTTAGGGAGTGTAACATTTCACTTATTTTTTGATCAAAGATTATTAAGAATTTACTTCCTTTTTATTTTGACCCTTTTTTGGGGTTTTTTTTTTTTTCAATTTAGCAACTTGGTTTCTACATTATGTAACGTGTGGAGCTTTAGGTTTGCCTTAGTGGGCTATTTGGTCACTATTTCTGGAAATGTGGTGTTATGAGTTTCTAGTTCTTATCTAGATGTCAGTGTAATCTAAATTCTTTTTGTTTGGTTTGTGTATTATTGCTTGTGAAGATTGTAGTTCTATAGAACAAAGAATGGTGATTTGGAAGCCTTTTTTCTTAGTTTTTCAGCCTGAAAGATGGGTGCTAATTGAAGATTCAAGCCTACCAAACACTAGCATTAGTTATTGTTGTTATTCAACCCCAAAAATGTACTAACTACGCCTAACTTTAATGACACATCATTTGTTTTTTAGTATTTCCAATTCAAGGGTAATTGCCACTTGAGCACATAAGAGAAGAAAAAAATGCTCCCCATTTATCCCCCAATCATTTTAAAACTATAATTCATAATTAATTGGTTGAATGGAAATCATTACCCTTATCCCAATTATTTAGAGTAGGCTTTATGAATCCTCATTTTACATTTATTCTTAGAGTGTTATTTGAGTTGTTACCCTAGTATTCATAAATCATTATTATCATCTTTTATTCTTTTTATCTTAGGTATGCCCTTTCTCCTTCTTAATCCGCTATTACTTATTTAATCTTCTTATGTACTTGATATCAATGTTTAAAATTGCGTAATCGGGTATTGAGGCGTTTTTCGTTCGTGAGGCGAGGCGTAAGCCTCAAGGCGTTTTGAGGCGTAAGCCTCAAAATCAAAAAATTGCGTAAATATAAGATGATAAATTTTGTATATACTAATGAGTAAATAATATATAAAACATAAAAATGCACAAGATATGAAGTGAAATCAAAATATCCCAATAATAAGACAACATGAAATATAGTTCAACTCAAACTCCATCTTTCTCAAATCACAGTATTCTTTTCATTAACATATAATTCCAAAAATAAATAGCAATGACATATCACATAAGAACTCATAAGTCATCAACATTGTCATCACCATGTTTAAAAATGCTCAATTAGGTATTGAGGCGCTTTTTTTTTGTAAGGCGATGTGTAAGCCTCAAGGCATTTTGAGGCGTGAGCCTTATGTTAAGTGCAAATAAATGTTAAAAGTAAAATTGTATATAATACTCAAATAATATATTAAAAAATGGCTACGGGTTAGAGGTTAAGGAAGTTGATGCGACTAGGGGGTACCTGAAGTGTGATTTATTTGCGGCTTTACTTCAGAATTTATGTAAGTTTTAATATATATCGGGTGAGGTGTAAGCCTCACGCCAGTGAGGCGAGGCGCGCCTTAAGGCGGGCCTCAATCAAGTCGAGGCGCAAGCCTCATAAAAAAAACTTGAGGCGTAAGCCTCAAGGCGCTTTTCACTAGAATTGCGCAAAGGCGGGCCTTAAGGCGAGCCTCATATTGCGCAATTTTAAACCATGCATGTTCTATAATATATTATACATATACTAATCACTTAACTCTTTTTTCAATTGCCGTTATTTTTAATAGATGTTATTCTAAGTATAATAGTTTTTAATTTATCTTTTCTAGCTTTTCCACACATCTATCAATAATCTCATTTCTATAGCACTCAAAATATACAACAAATTTTTTTACTTCCCAATAAAACAAATATTAAAATATCAATGTCTAATTGCAATTATGTAAAATTTGCTTCTAATTGTTCATGATATCTTCCTATCACATAATATACTGAAGTCACTTCTTCTGTTAGGTGGTGTTGGGAGGATATTTGAGAAGTGATGATTGTTCATGTTACTTTGTGAATGGTTTCTTATTTGTTTGAAGGAAATGAAGGTATGTTAGAGGGTAGTATTTTCTTATAGTATTTTGTGATTGATTGGAATTGATTGGGGAGAGTTTGGTTAGCTAGAACTGTAGTTTCTAGCCTTGGCCAAGAGCTACAAGGGATGTAGCTTAGTTAGGAAGGTGTGGTGATCAAGGTGGATTAGTTTAGTGATAGGAAATGATCGTAGAAATCCAGTATTCCTTTGCTGGAATTTAATTCAGCAGCCGCAAACACAATCCCCAAGAAGAATTTAGAGGAATAACCAAAGAAAAACATTTTCAACTGTTGATATAAGGAAGAAAACAAACAAAATACAATGGATCTTCAATTGGAGAGGAAGATCCAGCTCTCTTAAATCCATAGCGGCCGGCTAGAGCCCAAACATCCTAAGAACCATCTAATATCATCCAATAATACATACCCACAAACCTTAAATTTAACAAAACTACTTAAAGCATGCAATATTTAACAAATACCCAAAACAACCCTCCCAATTTGAAATTCTCTCCTAACCACCCCCCTCTCCGCAGTTGAAATTAACCTTGGGCCCCACCCTTATGTGCTATCGGTTTCGAGTGAAATCCTTTCGCCTCCCGAAGCTTGAAGCCCATTTCGCCTTCCACCTCATGTAACTCTAGTTGGTCCAGGAGGGATTGGCCCAAGAGTGATCGATCTAGGCTGGACTAGTCCATCAATATCCCCCTTCTCAAAGAGCCACCTTTTTCGATAGGTGAAAAAAATAGAATCGACTGCTTCACTATCACCTCCCTCCTCAATTTCCTTGTCATCACAAATGGTGAGAACTTGAAGAGTTTAACCTTACACCTATGCCCCAGTGTATACCTCTCATCACATCTGAAATACAACTCATTTTCCCTCTTCTTCTGTAACTCCATCTTTGTAAGCTTCATGAATTTTCTCTCAGGTCTCCCTCCTGCAGTCTTCTCCTTCCGGATCTTCTTAAGAATATATGGTGTCGGCTCCTTGGATGCAAGGTGATGATCATCCTGTATGAGCCTCATGAGTTGCTATCTCTAGTCCCTCTCTCTAGGTGCCTTTGATCCTCCACTAATTGGTCTAGCTCTATATCCTCTCTCAAATCACGAGGCCTCATCACTTTAATTGCCACCGGAATCTTTGTTCTGAGCCCTTTTAATAAGTTCCCCTCCAATACAATTTCCAGAAGCTGATCCAGTCAACTGGCCCATGTCTTCAAATTTCTCACAATATTCC